TGTTAGAGATTTAAAATAGACTTTTTGTGTGTAAACAAACTTAAATTACAATTTAATTGCATTTATAAATACAATCAATTACTTAAGTAACAAAAGACAATACAAATCCATTTTAGGTGTAGTTTTTTAACAATTTAAATATTTTAAACAAATTTATTTAAAATAGCAAAAAACAAATTTTAAATAATTCACAAATACTTGAAAAAAAATAAAATATATTACATTTTATGTTATATTTATTTACAACATAATTAACGCAAATATACTTGACTTCAAAAAACAAATAATTATTATTCAATACCATTAAAGAGATAATTGATTTATAAATTATTCATTAATTTATTGCCTCTATTTATTAAAAATAATTAAATGTCAAAATAGTATAATAAATATCTAATAATTATTTTTATTTTACTTTTGAAAAAATTAAATTAAAAGTTTGTAATAAACGGCGCGAATGTAGTGGATGGTGATATACCAGTACCAAGGTCTAATAATTTGATTCAAGTGGTCGACAAAGTATTATATCCGCAAAAACCATATAATTTATTACAAGTTCTCGAAGATAATCCTCATTTGACACAAATTTCATCATTTATAGCACTTTCCGGTCTTCAGAATCAATTGACAAGTATTTCAAACAAAATTCAATGATTTTAGAGATTTATTTTTATTTATTACAAGTTCTCGAAGATAATCCTCATTTGACACAAATTTCATCATTTATAGCACTTTCCGGTCTTCAGAATCAATTGACAAGTATTTCAAACAAAATTCAATGATTTTAGAGATTTATTTTTAATTTATGAAAATTATTTCAAAAATGCATTTTTGTATTAAAGCCAACGATTCATTTACATTCTTCGCGCCCAATGATGAGGCCTTCCGAGCGGTTCCCTGGCCCGTCACACAACAGATGCTCTCTAACAACACTTTCCTAAAATGTACTCATTTTAAATCATTATAAACTAATTCAATTCATTTACCATATTCATCCCCTTCTAAATTAGTATTAATCGCCAACCATTTAATTCCCGGTAAACAATACGCCACGGGTTTGGCCGGCAATAAGATCTACTCAATTGGTGGCAATGTCTTAAACTTCACGAGTAGAACCGGTAGTGCAATAATTATAGGAACAAATTAAAGTAGACTTAACTAAAACAAACTTCTCTTTTGTTTTTGCAGTTCAATCGCATTCATTAGTTTTAGTCAATTTAGTGCCGATCATAGACTCGGATCTGATCGCCACCAATGGTGTGATTCAAGTGATTACAAGAATTATTTTGCCCAAAGAATTGATGGACGACTGCAAGTGTCTGCCAAACAGTACCACAACTAAAAGGCCAGACAGACAATCGTCGGGCAACGAGACATCAACTATAGACCCGTTAATAGAGAAAATGCTGGGAACCGATGAAAATATCAATAATATTGATCGACGATACGGTTTGGCACCGCCGAGGAATGGACAACAGTCTGGCGATCACTTCACGTCTACTCCGAAGCCGGTGACGTTCAGATCCTTTTGGGACGACCTCTTCTCGGCCACTGAAGACCCGCTTAACGCAACCCAATCGGTGACCGGAAACGGGACACAAACCACAGGCAGTGGTGACAGGAATACGACAACACTGTCGTCGACGACACCGAATCCAAACGTCACAGAATTGCCATTCCTTTGGGACTTTCTGACCACCGAAACCCCGCAGCCATTGAATCAAACGACTGACAAACCTGTCAATGACAGCACATCCAGAGTATCGGCGACGAGACGATTGAGACAATACACGCCTGGAGTTCAATATGACGACGAGAGTAACACCACAACCGCCACAACAGGCAACGGAACCGCTGCTGACGGGACGGCATCCACACCACAGCCCACTTCATGGACCCGACCTTTCTATAGGCCGGGCGTCAGACGGAGCACAACAGAAACGACGGCTCAAAGCGCGACAAATGCGACCGAAACGACAACTCCTTTCGGAATCGGGAACTCATATTTTAGGCCAACTGTGAAGCCTGTCTTCCGGCCGACCCATAGGAGAGACACATTCACAGCTCAGCCAAACACAGACAATACTGTCCCGCCTTATGATCGCCGGTATGGCATTCAAAGAGATAGAAAGCCTATCAACGATAGCGATGATCAGTTGACCAGAAGATCCCAAATCAGCTCAAGACTGCAGGAGCCCATTGAACAGCGCAAAGATGACGATCAATATATTGAACAAGAAATTGAAAATCAATCCCATTATAGTCCGAACCGAACACAATATCCGTATCAAAGAGATCCCAAAGGGAGTCAACAGTCGTATGATCGACGGCCACAATCTCAAGACACAGTCTCCCAACCATTCGTTAGACGACCCTATGATCAGAGAGTGAGTCCACGAAACGAATCCAGATATTCGCCCGAAGAAGTGCAACAAAAACCGTATTCACCCACTTCTTGGACTCATCAGCAAAACATATCCCACTCGGACTCAAGACAACAGACATCATCCGATCTTTCGGCGCCAACACATCCATCAGAACCTCCGCGACAACAACTCAATTGGTGGGACTCTCGATACGAACCGGATGTCTATTCTGTGGCGGCCTTTGCTCCTACACCTCAAGACCAACAGCGAAGACCTCAGGCATACGACCCGAGGACTCTCTATCAACCGGCAAGACCTGAGCGGCCGCGCGATTACAGACCCGGAGTTGTATACATAGATCAAAGCGATTCTCACTATTATAGACCGCCGACAAAAGACAGGCGAATCTTTAAACCGAGAAATGACACCAAAACGAGTCCACAATCTTCCAGAGCTGGAGCGGCGAGAAGTCAGAAACCAACGAGTGATGTATATTCCAGACCACAATATATGGACAGATCATACGTACCCTCTTATGATCCCTTTGTGAGACCACCGATGGTTGTGGGAGAGTATCCACACATGTATAATATTGATCACTCGTATCCATCAATGGATCAATTTAGACCTCCTGTACGCCAACCCTTCCAGAGAGACCAACGATTGGATCCATTTGATAGACGAAGACCTGTTAGTGATACAAAGACCTCTTCGTCGTCGTCTAATTATGACACCATAAGAAGGAGAGGAGACACTCGTGACCGCAAACCTGAAGAGACAAAAGCGGACCCAAATCTGAAAACAATTAGTGAAATCATAGAATCACCGGATCTGATGGTCGGCGGAAAATTCAGACAATTCAATACTTTAAAGGATATGATCACCGATTCTGGTCTTTGGGATGCATTGAATAGACCGACGACTTATATCACTATATTTATGCCGACAGACGACGCTTTCGCCGCCATCACCGATGGATCGGTTGACCAAATGAAGAGGAATCCCAAACTTGTCAGAGATTTCTTAACACAACATATACTCGGATATAGTCTTCCGCCGCAAAATCTCAAGAATAATATGAAAGTGAAATCATTGAACGGAGAAATGCATTTAATTAATGTGATAGACGGCGGAAAAGTTAGTTTCAAAAATAGCTGGACTCCTGTTTTGCAAAACTAAATATTGAAATATTTAACATTTTTGTAATAACTTTATCACCAGATTATGGTCGACGGGAATGAAGTGATCGCCGCGACGGCCGCCAAGAATGGCAACGTATATGTGATGGACAAAGTGCTGGAAAGAAGTGGTCGCAGATCCCGATCCATTCCCGATGAGTTGAGACGCCGATCAGATTTGAGCACATTTTCCAGTTTATTGCAAAGAAGTGATCTCATGAGCCAATTATCTCGTGGTTTGTATTTATGCATATATTTCATAAAACGTAATTATCGTGTTATTTTGATTGTGACCAGAATCTGGACCATTCACTGTAATGGCTCCGACCAATACTGCACTCAATAACGCAAATATAAGACAACTAATTAAGAGTCAAAAGGATTTAAATGGTTTGCAATTATGACGAGTATTTTGTTTTTGATTTTATATTTATTACATGATTTGAATGTAGATTTTGTGCGCAAACACGTAATGGATGGCGCCGTTTATAGCCAACAATTATCTGATCCAAACGATGGAAGTGATAATAAAGATATTAGAAGAGTTGGTTTGAGTTCAGGTAAATATTTCAAAGATATTTCCTCATTTAAAACAAATGTTTCACTTAATAAACAGACGCTCCGATTACTATCAATAACTCAACTCAAGTGATATCTCCAGACATAACCACAGAGAATGGTGTCATTCATATTATTGATAGTGTTTTGCCCGAAAAGTTAAACATAACCGATAGGTCACAGAAATTATGTAAGCATTTAATTAATAATTTTTAAAAATAATTAATTTTTTATTAAAATGTTTAGCAAACGAAGAATCAGATAGAAATGGAAGACTGTCTTCAGTGCAAAGATCGGCACAGAGTCTTGGGATCAGAAGATTCACAAATTGGCTCAATAAGAGTGGTTTGTTGGATGAGCTCATCAAAGATGGTCGAGAGTACACAGTTATTGTGCCGACGGATAGGGCTGTCGGCAAACTGCCACTAAAGATACAGTCCATACTGAATAGCGAACCCTCCCGACTGACCAGTCTCTTGGAATATCACATAATTCCCGGTTTTGTGGACACAAAAGATTTGAAAGACAACGAAATGTTGACCACAATTAATAGCAAACAAATCCGATTCAATAGATTAGAGGCCGGAAAGGTTCAGACGCTGTCCGGAGCGCCGATTAACAGACAACAGACCGATAAGAATTTGTTGATAATAGCTGTGGACAGTGTGTTATACCCACCGCAGGGAACTGTTGGCGATCTGATCACAAAATCACCGTTTCTTAAGTTAGTGAATGAGATCATCAAAACCGCACAAATGGAGGACGAGTTGAAGAATAGTTCGGACATCACTTTCTTCGCCCCCAAAGACGAGGCACTCAAACAATTGGCGCCCGAAATACTCGAGCGCTTGAAAACTGACCAAAACTATAGCAGAGGTTCGGCTATAATATGTCGTAAAATATATATAATTTGTTAATTAAAAACATTTTCGTTGCATTTTTTGTGTACAGAATTTCTTCGCAAACATATTATACCAAAAGTGTTGTTCACGAGTGCTCTTCAAGTGAATAACGAGACTAATATCACACACAAAGAGCAGGCATTAAGTGGCGATACTCTTAAGGTCTACCGAAAGCCCAGTTAGTAATCGTTATTTTTTCATAGTTTTGCTTTAATATTAAGTTTATTTGAATAATTTGTTTAAACAAACTCTGTTTCAGATTGTGTTTCAGTCAATGGCATAACATTGTCTTTCGCAGACATCACTGCAACCAATGGTGTTCTTCATATTATTGATCACACAATTTGATAAAATAATGAATAAAATGTCATATTTTTGTACTATTTTTACCAAATAAAATCACAAAACAGCCAAATGTAACCATTA